TCAAAAAAAAAAAAAAAACACCAAACAACATCTCAAACAAAAAAAAAAAAGTAATAAAAACCAAAAATACCACCATAAAAAAACAAAAAAAAAAAAAAAAAAAATCTTATAGAGGGTAACTATATATATAGAGAATCGTATGGGAAAATGGAGGAGGAAGACGTCTGAATTAGCACAAATTTTGACATACACATCATCACCATCAACTATCAATATAATTAGATTGTCTATCAAGTACAACTTGTATTAGTTGTAATGATACGTGCATGTAACATTCATGTTAATTACCAGATATCTTCATCCCATATCTCTCCCTAGCTCTTATTTTCTAAAATGGGCTCTATATGGACTTACTTTTTTATGCGACAGAGACAATGCATGATCACAAAGCTCTTTGACAAGTAAGTCAAAGAGTGGAGAAGAGTGGGGGCCCTAATAAAGAATCCCCCTCATGTGAGGGTCACTAAGCTATATTAGGTTGATTGCCTCCACATAAGAAGACAGTGGCACAAGAAGGAATGTCTTGATTCACTTGAATTTATTCAGATTTGTTCAAGGCCTACCCTAACTGCTCCATTGAAAGCTTTTGAAGAGGACAACAAATTGTAGATCACTTTGATCCAATTTTTTTATCTTCCTTAAAATGAGGGAGCACATGGCAACCTTACGTGCAAAGTTATGAATGCCTCAATACTCCATCAGCATGAATTGTTTTGGTGATTACTAAAAACTAAGTGATTGTAGATAGTGAAGGCATCCAAAGGTTATTAGAGGGTCATTAATTGAGGATTAGATTGTAGCGTAGGAGGACACGTAAGCTCAGTATAGAATAGGTAAAGTAGCAACAAAATCCAAGGCAGCTAGAGCTTAATTTATTTGATTCCCAACACACGTAGAAGACTTATGGGTTGTTTTTGGAAAGCGTGAAGCAGGGAAAACTCAACAGGGTTTTTGGCTTCTGACATCTAATCATTGTTACAGAGTCGTATTTGTTTCGAGAATGAGAGCGCGGTGCATTTCCTAGAGTTGGTATACATTGTTATTAATCCTTAATTAATTAATTAGATACCATTATTAATTAAGTGTTGTATGTAATGGCATGCTTTACTAATTACAGTAGCAAGAGAAAAGGTATTTGGATTTAATGCAAGAAGATTGGACCTTAGCAAAGCATACGACAATATTTTGGATTTATAGGGCAATAAATTGTTTTTGTGAAAGTCAGGCATATCAATTTTTCTAACAGTAAGAAAGTTCAAATTTGCAATGAAAAAACTATAACTCTTAACTATATAACTATTTCTTGCAAATTACAATTGCAGTTTACAATACTAATCTTCAACCTTTTAATTGTTAATAAAAAATTTATGCAATTGCGAATAATCTGCTGTAGTGTATATAGTTGCTTCGAAATGACTACCTTTTCTAGTTTTATTTTTGTAGATAGACTCTCTGAGTGAAATATCGATCACTTGTTCTCGAGGGTCTGTTTGTCAATAACTAATTTTTCTTTTTGCAAAAATAGAATTAGAGGGATAGTAATTAGTTCAAAACAAAACGTCTATCCACCAGGAGCCATTAAAATTTTCAAATTTGAAAGTGTATTGGAGTATGTAAAATGAGTCAACTACTTCACTTGATAGCCCTTGTGAATCCATCTAAAATATTTAGTGAGCAAAAAAAATTTATTAAAAAACGTTATAAGGTTTAAATGGTGAACATATGGTCATGATGAGCCATGACATAAATGCCCTTTTTCCCTCCCTCCACATCAAACTTCACACCATTTAAAGCCTCCCCTTACCCCCCTCATTCTTACCCTCACTCCAAACCTAAACCACTCTATATACTCTACCCTAGCTACTTTCATCAATGTCCACCTCCAAAACTTCATCACCATCTCCACCATTATCAACCACCACCACACCAACACAATCACCATCCTCTCCCATCGAAAAGAGAGGAAGAAGAAAGCCTACGGAGCCCGGCCGGTTCCTTGGCGTGAGAAGAAGGCCCTGGGGTAGATATGCAGCTGAGATTAGGGATCCAACTACAAAAGAAAGACACTGGCTTGGAACGTTTGATACAGCTCAAGAGGCTGCTTTGGCTTATGATAGAGCTGCCCTTTCAATGAAAGGAGCACAAGCGAGAACCAACTTCATCTACACTGACTTCAACTCTATGATCTCCCCTTTCCAAATCCAACACCAAGTCCCTTTACAACAACCACCACCTGCTCCTCCTATTCAAATTGCACCACAACCTTATCAGCAAATTAACCAATTTGAATTTCAACAGAATCCCAATTCTTCGAGTGAATCCGACATTGCCAATGACTTCTTGTTCTCTGATGATTCAGGGTCTGGTTATTTAAGCAGTATTGTTCCTGAGAGTTATCTTAGGAAGCCGTCCCCTCCGAGGAATAGTCAGGTCCAGGCTTGTGAAACTTTTAGTACTAATGTAGATTTTGCAGAAATGGGTGCAACGAGCTCACAAGGTTCTTCTTGTTTAAGTGAAATTCAAGGGAGTGGGATTTGGATGGATGAGCCTTTATGGGATTGGAGCGTGAGTGAGTTTCAGGGTAGCGCTTCAATGACGATGGACGCTGGTAGCAGTTCATATATTCCTCAGGTTTCGGATGCATATTCGACTTCGGTTTCTTCACTGAATGAAGGTTTTGATTTCTCTGAGTACATGTTGTTGTGAAGCGATGTTAAGATTTAGTACTTAGATGGAAGAGGTATCTGAGGAAATATCTACTAGGTTTTGCTTTGAGTTTAAATGATGTTCTATGAATCTATGTAGTTTCTGACAGTAGGGAATGTTCCTCTATCTGTCAGAACTTAATTATGATATATATATTTTAATCCTATGTTCTATTGCATCTTTCTTTGGTATCAGAGACCGACCTCTTGGCTTGTGTTACGTGCGGCAGTACATGCTCAACCTCACTTCCTAAAGGCATGCAGATATATGTTCGTCATTGGGAATTGATTTTGTTGTGTTAGATTTGCAAGCTATGTGAGCTTCAAAGATTTAAGAATCTGTATACTAGCTATAAATCAAAGTTTTTGTAATTAATAGTTAGTCTGCTGTGCAAAATTAGAAGCATGCATGAACCACTCTAGTTAAATTTTGAAATGCTCATGATCATAGTCTATGCCACATTATATCATAGAAAATAAATTATGTTTAGCCATTGATAATGTTATAACAATAGAAACTGTGCAAATTAAGTCTATAGTTTGAATATGCATGGAATTTAAATAATTTATCAGAGAACTACGTATAACATAAAATTAAGGAGCAAGAAGAAGAAGTTAAACCAAGTGTAAAATCTAGAAGAATGCTATAAACTTAATAATTTATATCTAAATTATAAATAGCTAGAAAACAATTGCAAAATACATGAATGCAATCTCTTAAGCCTTTTCATCAACGCAGACACCATAGTAATTAGATTCGCATTCTTTTTTTATTTTAACCAAGCAATATTGCTCTTGCAGGAACAAGAAATTTTGCTCGTCCTAGCTAGCTAGCAATATGAGGCCAATGCAGCAAAAACACACAATCAGAAATCAGAATAGAACGCAAAGAAAGAAGAGCAATTGCTATGAGACTATTGAAGACCATGTCCTAATTGGTATATTTATAATATCACAATTAAATTTTGAAATGCTCGATAAGATCATAGTGTATGGCAAACTATATTATAGAAAATCAATTATGCTTTGCCATTGATAATGTGATAACAATAGAAACTGTGGAAATTAAGTCTGCAGTTTGAATATGCATGGGATGTAAATAATTCATCAGAGAACTATGCAACAGAGTATTAAGGAAAAAGAATAAGGAGAAGAAGAAGAAGTTAAACCGAGTGTAAAATCTAGAAGAACGCAATAAATTTAATAATTGACATCTGAAATATAAATAGATAGAAAACAATTGTGAAATACATGCATGGCATCTCTTAAGGCCTTTTCATCTACGCAGACACCATATATAAATAACTAGATTGACATTCACTAGCCCAAAATAAGTACATAAATAAATAAGTTAAATTAAAAAAAAAAGATTCACGTTCTTTTTTCTTTTAACAAAACATTAATAGATAATTGCTATAAGACTATTGAAGACTATTTCCTAATTGCTATATGAATCAAGTTGACGTGAAGGCTGCACTTTTCGACCATCATAAAACTGAGATTTACATGCAGCCTTAATTTGCCAGGTATTCCTAATTTTAAGGTAAAAAATGCTCTCATAATCGTGTACAATACAACCTCAAACAAGCTCATGAGAATAATTTTAGAAATTCAGCTCTACAATACTATCTTCCTAAGTTAACTTTTGCCAATCCTGCAGAGCTTTGTTAGTTGTGGAAGAGCAAATACTATTGATTAAAGGCTTGACACCAGTAATGCAGTATTCATCTTTTCTATTATGAGCTCAGGATCAATTAGGCTTCTTTGTTTCTTATTTGTGAGGCCTAGATCCTATACATTTCATACTATATATATACACATCATCTACCTCTCTATTAATCAGAAGAAAGCTAGTAAGCTACCCACTGTAAGAAAGAAGGAAATTATTTCTTAGAAATTTCAATAAAATTTCTTATTAGTCCAAAACCATACTCGAACTTAATACCAGACACTCCTAATATAAAATCCTGCATATAATTTTCAATTTAAAATATAATTTTCAATTTAAAATATAATTTTACTTTAATATACATAACTTTTTTAAAAAATAATCTTCGATTTTAAAGTTTTTTTTTTTTTTTAAACTTGTTCTCGAACACAATTATCTTCTTTTTTTAATTAAAAAACACACACACACACATTGATTGTGCTTGGTTTGAATGGAAATGTCCATGGGCCCTCAAGAGGACCAAAAGCACTCCAAAATGGGCCTGAAGGTTCCAGCGTTGAACCCAAAAGGCCCATTAGAAAAGGTCTCCCTAAAAACTGGAGCTAAGAAGAGGCGGCGATCAAAGAGGGAGATCCGTTGATCAGAGATCAAGAATCAAGAGAGAGAAAAGAAGAGAGAGATCATCAACCGAGAAGGAGGAGGAGAAGAAGAAAAATGGCGAAGATCCCAGTGAAGATGAGGGCGGTGGTGTACGGGCTGTCCCCGTACCAGCAGAAGACGATGACGGGGCTCTTCAACGATATCTCCGGCAAGCTCCACCACAAGATCACCGAGAACTGGCTCAGCGCCACCCTCCTCATCGGTCCCCTGGTCGGCACCTATGGGTAATAATTTCTGAATCTCTTATCTCTCAATTTAGGGGTTTTTTTTTTAGTTCTTGATGTTAGACTTAGGGCAAAATTGTTGTTCAGATCTGATATCTCTTGAAGCGTCTCCGTGTAGATTTAGGTTTGGATGTGGAAAGATATTATTGTTATGAGAATTTCATTATCAAATAATGGGGCCAAAAGTATAAAACGTTGCGCCTTTATCTTTTATGAAATCCTCACAATGGGGGGAAAAAAGAAGGCTTTTCTCTACATTATGGGTGAGCTGGTTGTATATAGGGGAAAATACATTAGAAAGGAAATTTAAGGGTTATAGAGGTTAGATTGACGTTGGTATAATCTTCTATTGAGCAACATAGTTACGCACATAAGGGATGGTGCGAAAATGTGTATCAAATTGCTTGTATATATACTTTAATAGCGGAATGTTCCTTGCACCAACTATTTCTATCTTTATTTAGATAATAGGTGAAAGATTAGTGATATAAAATACGAGTGATATACCGCCTTACAGATGCATTTAAGGTAGAAATGCTTCTAAAAATGCATCTTATTTGAAGACAGTATTTTCTACCAATAGTTTATGCAAAATTTGAAACTAATTTTCTATTTTTCCTTTGATTTCTATGGGTCATCCTTGCTTTTCTAATAATTTGCATGTGTAAAGAGTTCTTCATCGATTAGTCCCATGCCTATTTGGCTTCTGCCGTAACAATATCGCTTAATAGCGGTGATATATTGCGGTGAATAGCGTGAGAAAAATCATTTAACTTTTTGCCACTATTATAAATAGCGGCAAATAGCATCGCAATATTGACACTAATAGCGTTAGCAGCCCCTTCCGCAACTATATCGCTCAATAGCGGTGATATATCGCGGAGCATGCGCTTTTTGCTCGTAAAAGCGACCAATAGCGCGCTATAGCGGTGAATAGTAGGCAGTTGCACGTAAAATTTGCTTTTTTGATTGCTATTTAAAAGCGGTTTCAAGTTTTTTTTAATTAATACCGACCAGCACCAGCAAGACCTGATGTTTTAAGTCATTACCAATCATGGTCTTCCTCTCTTGAGTCTTCCTCTCGCTCTAAAAAAAACTCTAGCACCTAAAAAAGTCGTTGCCGCATTCCGCCACCTCCCGCAACTTTTGGCATCTCTCAGCTGCCTCCCATAGCCTCCGACACCTCCCTAAGAACATCTTTTTACCGCCACAACACCTCCTCCCACCTCCTTTCGTTGTGAGCTCCTCCTATTACAGTCCTCGCACTGCTCACCTCATCTTCTTGAAGACGATTCTTCGACTCCTCCAATCCTTTTCGATATTATGTGATATTTATATATGTCTATTTCATGCTTAGAATCTCTTTAAATCAACAAGTATATATTTTTAGTTTTTCTATTTTTTTCTTAGTTTTTTTCCTTTTTTTAATATTTGTACATATTTAAATTAGACCGTTATTTAATTTTGCGCTTTTTGCCGTTATTTTGCCTCAACAGCCTCGAATGGCCTTAGCGGTGCCTCACCGCTTCGCGACGCTATCTGCTATCAATAACTTTTCTTTTTTGCATATATTTTGATTATATATAATTTTATTTTAGAAATGTTTGCATGTGCGTATGCATGTCTATCTGTCTGTTATGGTTTGCATTCTCTCTTCTTTATAAATTAACGTATTAGTTTTTTGTCATGTGGTTCATGCCATCAATACCTTTTTAAGGGAAATGTTGTTGCCTAATTAGTGGTTTTTGTCCGTGCATGCCCACAAATCTTAACAATAACCATTGAATTTACTAGTTTTTCCTTGTGCACTTTTAGACATTTACTACTATTTTGTACTTTTAGAGCAGGAAACATCTTATTTACAATTATTGATGTGCGAAAGTAGTGAATTAGTCAAGCTTCTTGATACAAGGTTAAATTGATGTCTTATGTTTGCTAGACCTGTTCCAGTCCTCCTATAATTTGGAATTGCAATTCAAAATTTTCTGTTGAACAACAATAATATAGCATTGTTTACATCTTATGTATTCATATTAATAAGAAAAAGAATTCTTCACTTTTTCCAGGTACGTTCAACACTACCAGGAGAAGGAGAAGCTTGCCCACAGGTACTGAAGTTCATCGTGCCTCCCTGAACTTACTATTCAAGTAGTTCCATTGGAGGTCGTTTGAAGCTTGCAAACTTTAGTGCACGTCGGATGACATTTTCTGATTCGTCGTTTTGAATAATTTTTTGAGTGGAGACTCATCTGTGTAGTCCATATACTTTTGCCTCATTCTTTATGGAAGTTTAATATTTAGACGGTTTACCTTTGAACTCTTTTAATGGGTATGTGATTTCGATTACTTCACCTTGTACTGTGTTTGTTCCTTTCTCTACCTCATAGTTTATGCAGGTTTACTTGTGTATTATGTCAACCAAAGGCCGTAAAGTAGAAATAAAACAATAGCATGTGACGTTGCAGCTAAGTTTCATCCTCCTAAACAAACCCCGTCTGTTGGGAGGACCACACAGATGAATGGCAGCGACATACGTTTCGTGATGGGCAGCCTTATTCTTTGCTTTCTTTCCCGTCTGCAGAGAGAATGATTGAGATTTGCGGTGGGAGTCGAATTCCAGTTACCCAACGCTCTCCCACGGATCGAGGTGAAAAGAATAAAAGAAAACGCGGTATACGTCAAATAAAAGGCATAGGCATAGGACAGGCAGGGGAGTTCCACATCAGAGCATGGCACGAGGTTTCCCGCTTCTCCCATTGATTGGTCCTCATTATTTTTGATCGAAAAATCGGGAAAATTTTAATGGAAAACAGGGTTTTACCGAGGGTGAGCTGGTGCCTGCTGGCGTTGTTAGTAACGCGGAAGGTGGCTTTCCAGTTGGAGTGGTGATGCGAGGACATGGTGATCAATATTATTTGTGAGTGAGGTGCCAACGAATAGTTAGTTTAAGATTAGAGCAGCACCTCTTCTATGTACAAACTGCCAGTCTGATTTAATCAATCTCATTCAAGATCCAAACTTCAAATCGTCTATTTACAGATATTAAAAAAAAAGTCAGTACACACCCTCGCCTCGCCGCTCCATTTGCTTCAACATCAACGAACTAGGACAGATCCACGCCTAGAGGTTGCATTATTTGTTCACCATTATGGTTTCCCTGCCAGTCAAAGTTCTCACATCTCACCAAAACTTTGCTCCAGAAATAGTTCAAATATTAACTTCACGGACATCACTCTGCCCAAATGGTGTGCCACACCCCGGGCACTTGCGATGTCGGATCTCCAAGTTTCTCTGGATACAGGTATGGCAAAATAAGTGGAAGCACTTGGTGATCACAACCTGCATAAGGAGTAAAAGAGTGAAAAACCTCCAGGTCATCTTCTGGATAAAAGTAAACTCATATTAATAATAACAGGCACAAATATAGAAGGTAACTTACAGCAATTTGTGCAGAATAAGAAGCCACTTGGCTTCATATCCAAACCAACATTAACTTTCTACTCTTAATTTTCGGTACATGGGTGTTTGTGATTATGACAAAAGTACTATTGCACATGAAGTTAAACAGATAAAGTTTTAGGATCAGAGTTTTTTGTAAGAGAGAACAAGATATTACTAAGAGCATATAATATACCAAAAACCTACTGTGTGCAGCAAAATGAAAAGTGCTTGTCTAGTTCAGCAACTAGAGGAACAACAAAATATGCGAGGAAGAAAAATGGTTGGATAAATATAAAAAGGGAACTGCAATAAATTAAGAGGAAACAAGCAAAAGAAAGTATGGTTTAATAGTTAGACGAGAACATACCTCCTTCGGACGATCAAAGCAAACACCACATTTGAGTATGGCCTTGCATTCCTTAATTTCATCTTGAAGCCTCTGTATTGCAGCCTCTTCACTCTCATTACTAATCTCCGTGACTTCATTTTTCAGTTCTTCATATTCTTCCTCAAGCTTTTTCCTCTCATTTCTATGATTTTTTTTCTCAAAGTTTCATTCAGTTATATCTCAGGAACAAATGAAACAAATAATAATAAACCAGTGGAAATAACGTACCGTTCGCAATCTAACTCCATTTTCAACTCCAGAATCTTCTTTTGATTCTGTTCATACTCCTTGTCAGAGGACTCTGCTACAGATTTTACCCACCTCAGCCTCTTCTCAGCTTCTGCTAACTCCATTTTAGCTTTTTCTAGGTTAACAGCAACATGTCTGTTCTCTGAAGATGTTTTAATAGCTTGTCCGATATATGCTTTCATCTGAAAAGAGTTAAGATTACTTAATGAAAACTGACCTTAAGCGTGTATAGGAAAAGCCAAGGCTAAAAGTTTAAAAAATGCACCTGCTCTTCACCACGAGCCATTTTCATTTTGAGAGACTCTACTGAAGAATTAAGTTGCTGCAGTTGCTTGGCTTTGGCTTGTTTCTCCGCAAGAAGAGAGCTGATTGTCTGTTTCATCTTCACACTATCCGATACTAGCTGGAAATTTGAAGTGAAATATACAAGTTCTCAGACACAATAAATGAAGGAAATATCTGACCTATAAAAAGAAGGAAGGAGTACACAAAGGTGGAGAAGAAGAAGCAGATTTCAAGATAAGTTTATCCAGGATGCAATTATGAACCATTGTTTGGAAAAACCTATTATGTAACTCATAATTTGCATTGTATAACCTAACATACCTTAAATGTTATGTGACATTTTGAACTCAGACACGTCATAACTCTACTTTATTACAATACAATATGCATTATAATATTTGAATATAACTTTGTTATTTGAATATAACATGTGTTATTTCAATATTAACTTACATTATTTCAATATACTTCATTATAGATACCTGAGAATATTTCCTTAAATATTGAAGTAATTATGTAACTAATTTGAATTGTTTGTTAAGCATTCATTGCTTATTTTGGTGACACCATTATGTTGATTGTGAAATTATGAATTTGACTAAAAAATTGAATATGAAATTATGAACGAAATGTAAATTTGTGATTATTATATTGAATTATGAACTAATTTGAATTGTTTGTTAAACCTTCATTGCTTATTTTGGTGACACCATTATGTTGATTGTGAAATTATGAATTTGACTAAAAAAATGAATATGAAATTATGAACGAAATGTAAATTTGTGATTACTTTGTTCTGAATTGTTATTACTGTATTGAGCGGAGGTACCTAGGAGACGATGAGTCACTTCGGAAGATGGTCAATTCTTGCTTGCCCGAGCCCTATGGACGAACGAAAAAGATAGCTACTAGTATATGAGGACGCAAAGCAGAGGACTTTTTTATATTTTTTAAATTAAACAACAATAACATACATAACCTATGTTATGCATTGTGCTTTAAGCTATTGAGAGGCCTTAACTTGTACATTATCATATTTTTCAACATTCCTGAAGACTTGTAATACATGTGCTTTTGGATCAGCTGTTACACAATTATGATGTATTTATGTTGAGACATTGTGACGATATATTTGATAATTTGTAATATTTGAAAATTGTGATGATTCTATTTATTAAAATATTTGTAACTGTTTTTTTAATTTATTACATATTTAAATCAATAATAAAACATGTAACCTATGTTATGGGTCATGTTATTTGCGGTTTTTGCATTTAACTTTAACAAGAGGTGGAGCATTATGTTATGTGTTAAATCAATTTTTTCAGCATTATCATAAACATGGTATACAAGTACACAGGCAAATGAGATGCTGAGACACACCTTGATATTATAATCATCTCTATCAGCAACCTGTTGATGTAAATGCTGGTTCTGCGTCTGCATGTCCTCATATGCTTGGCCGATTGTCTACAATAGATCCAGAAAATAATTAACGCGTCACACTGATGTTGAGTTAGAAATGAAGATATAATAAAACAATGTAACCTCAATTTCCGAGATATAAGCTGCTGCTTCAGCATCTTTAACTCTTATGGCTTCTTTAATTTCCAAGAGATTTCTGCAAATAAACAAATAATAGTTTCCATTAAAAACATCAAGAAATATATTTTCTTACATTGGAGAGTAGTAGTTTTTAAATCAATAACATATAATGATTATGATAAATGCCTGCTTGCTATGTATTTAAATATGTTCATATCGTATGCATATTTCACCTGCATAGTGCTGAAATGCAGACATATGTTTAAATCAGTTTCTGAGACAAGTAAAAGATTCACAAATTGGTGAAATAATTAGACTGTTCCCTTTAGTGATACATTTAAGTACAAGAAAAAAGAGATAATATCATATACACTGCTGCATCAATCTTAAAGCACATGAACATTTGGAAACCCATGATCCATGTGTTCCAAGAATTACTTGAAGGGCATACCCCCCATCTCAGCCAAATTCACTGCCCCACTCAAGCAACAACAATCAGAGGGGGAACAAACTGTGAACTTAACTAAGTACATACACCTGAGTAGCCTAAAAACGATTTTCTCATTACTAATCAATCATTTCTTGAATCCTACTGTATGATTCAAAGCTACTGTTAGTCACAGTGCATGCATTCAAAAACTGTATTTCTTTTAAACAAAACCAAATTAAATTATGAGATAGTCATATCCTCTTCTATGGAATTCCCAACATGAGTGACTTTTAAAAATATATACATAAAACTATGAGATAGTTATACCCTTTCCTGTGGATTTCCTAATATGAGTGACTTTCTAGAAAAATACATAAAATACTTTGTACCTCTGTGAAGCATCCATTTTTGCCCTTAATTCGGTCATTTCCGCTTCTGCTGCTGCCAACCTTTGCTGACAAGCTGCTTCAGCCTCATTTGCAGCTTTCACTCGTAGTTCCAGACTATGTTCATCTAGAGCAGCTTGTAAAACTTTAGCTTGAGCATGAGCTCTTTGTTCTGATTCCATAATTTCCATGATAGTTCTGCAGTTTATAGTCAGCAACATCAAATAAGATGTAGTTCTTATAGCATAAGAATCAGATTACTGTTATATAACATAAAACCATAGAAACTTGTGATAAGATCACAGAAGAGAATATTACAAGCACTTGTAATACAGATATAGAGAGAACATTGTACTGTTATCAATAGCATGCACTTTTCTTTTAAATTACATTTCGTTGATGCTGACATACTTGGTATCCAGCATATTAAAAGATATACCTGGCTAGATTCGGGCTTCACCAATCACAAATTATAGTGAATAGGATTTGACTTGAACACATATTAACAGATGATCATCAGTAAAGAAGACTAAGATGAATACAAAAGGAAGTCCCAACTTTAAACTATTTGGTCAGTGCTACATCTTAGAATGCTCCAACCTGTACTGCACAAATATTCAAGCCCTTTCCACTAGAACACAGTCAGCTAGAAAGCAATATTAACTCGGACACCTTCATAGGACGACTAATCAAATTTAAGACATCTGCCAAGAATATTGCCAAGCTCATGAACTGGATGACTTGCCACAAATCACAATACTCAGAAACATAGATAGCTAGCAGGCTAATCACTCGTTTTAAGCCAATGCAGACAATTCTCTTAACTAATAGCTAGATGGACTACAATGAATTAGAGGCAAGATCCTCTACAGAATAACATTCATTTATGAAGCACAATTTAAACAATAGTTCTGATTGAAATACATTACTCAATTATGTTTACACGACTTCATTTTACTAATTCATCAGTCACATTTTTGCTCTTCATCAGCAATGCCTCCATATCATTACCAATAACACAAATACACAACTAATGAAATGCCTCCATATCATTACCAATAACACAAGTACACAACTAATGTAATTTATTTCTATACCATGGATATCCTCACTTTTATCAAATAACTCTCTAAATCTCACCACACACAGGATTCTCATGTCTTTTTTTTTTGCAAATTTAAGAAAAAGAGGAAAAAAGATGAAAACAAATTTCATAGTCGCACACATGAAGCTTGTAGAAAGACTTAAACAAACAAACAAAACAAACAATAGAAACACACCCAAGCATGAACAAAGGTGAGAAGTGTCATGTCTTATCATCATGTTAAAGAAAATATGATTGTGTATAAAAATGGAAAATATTTTAAAATGTGCAAGATGATATACCCATTCTGTGAGATATTATTTACTTATTTTTCAATTCCTTTTTTTTTTAAATCTAATTTGATGTCATTGTGACTCCAGAGCCTTATGACGCCTATACAGGAACCCGATAGATACATTACAAAGTTTTGATACTTGATAGCATTGACATGGATAACAAACAAAGTGCTTTCAGTTAAATCTTTGACCATTATTATATTTCAATCCAGTATCGCATTTGTAATGTATGCCTGAAACACGTCACCAAAGAATCTAATGCCACAAGATGAATGCAGCATGATGTTATACTGAATAATAAATAATGAAAATGCTTAGTAATTTAGGTAGTAGAGGATTAGCATAATGTCAACTTCTGACCTACCGATTTTCATAACACTCTTGCCCATACATATCCAAGAAGAACTGTAGCTCTTTCTTTTCCTTCTCCATTTTATCGACCTGCATATTGTTAGCTTCAGAGATCAGAGACAATGACCAACCCAGGTATATCTAGCCACTAGGATATTTTCTACTTTTCAAGCATGACCAATTAAAAAGTAGGAACTAACATCAAATTGAGGATAACAAACAGTTAAGCAAGAACTATATGCCAGCGAGAGGGTACCAGTGCTTTAAGGGACTTGATCTCCACCACCTGTTCGGCACATCTATCTGATAGGGTCCTTTGCTCAGAGTTCTATGAACAAAATATATGCATACTAGTAGGTTAAGAGTGAAACTGAAGAAGATAAGCATACTTGACCTGTACTTTCAAAGATTAAGTATCAAACTCATGAATAACAACATACAATTGAGCCAATTAAGTTAAGAAAATATGGTTGTCCTACTAAAAGTTAAATGCAATAACAAGTGACACTTGATATGGGCATGGTTCCAGAAACAAATGCAAGAAACGTAAGCAATCATGGTAATTAATTTTGCAATGTACTAAATCTTGATTCTTGAGTGAAATATTTTCAGAGTCAGCAGATACAAAACCAGGGCACGTGATAGGTCCTAAAAAAAGACTAGTTGTACACCATAAGTAAGCAGCCAGTACCAATTAAGCAGCCAGTACCAATTTCATTTAAGAGCGTCTATGACAGGATAACAACTGGCATGAGAACTAACAGAAGAGAACACACAAGTTATACTCGCTATCAGCCTATCACTATAGAACGTATCAAGGTCCTACCTATCTGTGTTCTAGACAAAACATAGAGGATGTTCCCTTGTCTTCATTGAGGAGACTAGCAATATTCTTCTTCTAAGATACAGTTCCAAATGGGTTTGAAACTCTTTGTCCATTTATCGTCAGGTACTACATATTGCACGATATGGACCATATTGTGAGAAAAAATTATGAGAAAATTAATCCAAAACATATATTACAAAATACGAAAATTAATTCCCCACTGAACCATGATCGATAGTAGGATATGCATGCTATAACGTTAGTAATTTAATATGGCAAAAATGGAAAAGGAAATTTAAATCCCTTATCTACCAGAATTAAGGATCAGAGGCGGGTTATCAGATACTTCACTTGCTAAAAAACCAAATTCCTCATTTTAATCAGCCTATCATTGATAACATATATCGATAGCAAATTTTAAGTGGCAAGAAAATTCATAATAAATTTCAGGTACCACATTTTATGCAGGTTCATTGAGTTTATAACCAAATTCATTGTTTGCTAAAATTTACTATCAACATCTGAACTTTATGTTTACTAGTTAAAATTTAAAAGGAGATTAGTGATAACAGAAATTCTTATTGATTCGGCCTTCAGAACGATCATGCTAACAGATAGATAGACTGCAAGGAAAATTAACCTAAGGTCCTAAAGAACACTGCATTAGAACATGAAAACAAGTCTAGGTTAACACCTTACAATCTAATGCGGTTCTCAGAGAATCAGCTTGCCCATGTAAAGCAAGTACTTCATGTGCTGCCTCTTTAGATCGATTTAACTGTGCTTCCATCATCTGCATTTCCTTAGTTAATGCTGATGCCATGACCTGAATCTCGTCTTTAATATCCTTTCTCCCTGAAAAAGAAAAGTTCAATAGGCACTTTATAACACTGTAGGTAGAGACATCAAGATCACACCTGAATCCTGCACAGCTTCTTCCAATTTAGTTTCAAGATCATTTCGTTCAGCAATAAGTTTCTGGATCTGAAGCTCCAGCTCTTCTATTCTAGCATCATAATTACTAATGGAATTCCTTGCAGCATCAGCAGATTCTGCTTTTGCGCTCAGTTCCTTCTCCCATTGCAATAGATGGTTTCTGCCCGTCTAAATTAGTACTCTTAAGATAAGTCACAGAATGATAAATAAAGAGCATATGCAAATATGTATAGGATAAGTTCACCTGTAAGGATTCTATCAATCCCCTGTATCTTCCAAGTTCAGAGTGGACATGTTGGAGCCGATCTTTAAGGAGATTGTAGGCTTTTGAAGAGACTACATAATTGTCATCCTTCATTTCGTTCTGTAAAAGAGAATAAATTCAAAGCAACTTCTCATAATGTTCATAAACAAAACTATTTATCTTAGAAAATAACAAAAAACAATTTTAATTAACAAGTTGTAGAGAAAACTAACTTGAAGGGCTTCCAATTGTTTTGACAAGATCAAGTTATCTTGTTGTGCCTCCTGAAGTTCGAAAAGGCGGCTCGCTGCCAGTGACTGTCAACCATAAATATCTCTTATGATCAAACATATTTGGGAGAAAAGAGACTACTTGAATTTACAAAATCTGAAGCAAGGGTTCTATATGAAACCATGTCCAAAAAAGACATGCTGTCTATATACCTTAGCCTCCTCAACCGTCTCTTTCAGCTCTCGCAAACCCATGGTCTTATCTGTAAGTTTGTCTGATGAAATGTTTCCATTTGCAGCATTGGCAACCAAAGCGGTGACCATAGATGTTCCATGCTTTTGCATCTGTAGAGCAACCAACTTGCGCCGACTTTCCTCAAGCTCTGCCATAGTTTCTTCCAGCTCACCTTGATTATCAAATATAAGAAACTAAGACATTAAACTTTAACAGAATTATACATAAAACTCCTAACCTACTCAGATGGCTGAAGTAGGAACCTTCTTAATTTGAAGTTATCCATGACCAACTTCCTAAGACAGGATCCGGCTTAGATGATGGTGAAAATGATATGTTAAGATAAAAACTATTTTATCAGCAGATAATGTTAAAAGGACAAAACAATATAATAGCATTAATGGCGGGAAACATGTAAAATTATCCGCCACAATTTATGCATATAACTCAAATATAGGATCTAGTCATCCTCATTATGAATTTTTTTTATCACTTGCCCCAACTAATACTGAATTATGATCAAAGCTTTTGCAAAAGAAAATAGGGAAAAATGCTTCCAGCCCCCAAAAGCCAAGGAAATGTGTTTCCCACCCCCAAGACTTTGTCAACCCCCAAAAATAAAGATTCTGTTCTCTGAGTCCCCAAAACACAAAACCCAAGAGATTAAAATATGTGAAGACCATAATACCATTCTCTCTCTCTCTTTTTTTATTAAAATACGATGAGGATTATTTTATTATTTTCGTTTTCTCTCTCTTTATCATGATGTACTAAGATGATAGTTGAAATGATTGATGAGGATTATTTTATTATTTTCGTTGTTTGTATTGGGAGATTGTTAAAGTTACGGGTTAATTGTTAAGATTACGAGTTAATTGTTAATGTTATGGGTCAATTGTTAAGGTTATGAATCCTCTCTCTCTCTCATGATGTTACTTTGATGATATTGAAATGATTGAAGATGATTATTATTTTATTATTTTCGTTTTTTATTCTTTTTGTATTTTTAGAATATTCGTTGTTAAGGATAATGGTTGGTTATAAAGATTATGCATTGATTGTTAAGGTTACGGGTTGGTTGTTAAGGTTACGGGTTTGTTGTTGAGGTCATGGGTTTGTTGTGTAGGTTACGAATTTGTTGTTAATGTTACGGGTTTATCTGTTAAGATTACGGGTTTAATTGTTAAGGTTGCGTGTTTAATTGTTAAGGTTACGGGTTTAATTGTTATGGTTACGGTTTATTAATTATTAAGGTTACGGTTTAATTGTTAAGGTTACGGGTTTAATTGTTAAGGTTACGGGTTTAATTGTTAAGTTACGGGTTTAATTATTACGGTTACGGGTTTAATTGTTAAGGTTACGGTTTAATTGTTAAGGCTACGGTTTAATTGTTAAGGTTATGAGTTTAATTGTTAAGGTTACGGGTTTAATTGTTAAGGTTACGGTTTAATTGTTAAGGTTACGAATTTAATTGTTAAGGTTACGGATTTAATTGTTAAGGTTACGAGAGAGAGAAGGGATCCATAACCTTAACAATTGACCCGTAACCTTAACAATTAAACCCGTAACCTTAACAATTAAACCCGTAACCTTGTAAGGTGCATTAACAATTAATAAACGGCGTAACGGCGAACAATTATAACCCCGTAAGCCTTAACGGCAATTAAACATGTAACGGCTTACATAATTGAATACTCGTAACCTTAACGAATTTAAACTCGTAGCGCTTAACACAAATCGTAACCTACACAAGCAAAACCCCATAACTGGCGGCGTACACAACAAACGCCGTTGAACGGCTTTAACAACAGCAACCGTCGGGCCGCCCTCCCGAGGCCTTAACAAATGCATTGGGCATAAGCGGCTTTACAACCAACGCATTATGCCTTAATAATGAATATTCTAAATACGAAAAAGAATAAAAAACAAAAATAATAAATAATAATCCTGCTTCAATCACTTTTATATATCATCAACATAACGATCATGGATAGAGGAGATGATTGTCATAAGCCTTTAACAATTGACGGCGTAACATTAAGCGAATATAACGAGGTGTCGTAACGCGTTACACAATTAACGCGCGTAATTTTAACACTATCTCCGCCATACAAATAAGCAAAAAATAATAAAAAATAAAAATAATAAAATAATCCTCATATAATGGCGAATTTCAAACTGATGCATCTCAGTACACATCATGATAAGAGAGAGAAAATAAAAATAATAAAATCATCCATCATGCATATATTAAGTAAAAAAAGAAAGAGAAAGAGAAAGTGTATTATGATCTTCACATATTTTAATTCTTTTGGATTTTGTGTTTTGGGGCTTAAGAGAGACACGAATGCTTTATTGATTTGGTGGTAAAACATCCCGTTGAACACAAGTCTTGGGGGTGGAAGCACGTTTCCTAGGGCTTTTGGGGGCTGAAAGGCATTTTGCCCGGCAAGTAAAACATAGACTTATTTAAGCCATACTTTGTTTTGTAATGCATACTCCCAAGGTACTGTCGACTAAGGATCTAGCAAAAGAAAATAATCATTTTATGCGACGTTTGATATATATACTTTCAAAACTTCAACTGGGGCTATTAAGGTCAGGTAAGTAAATAGTTCAGGGGCGTCACCGCGAGTAAAGCATGGAATGATGGCCATGAAATCCAATAGAGTGAGTTGTACATAATCGCTGGACAAGTCGGCTTTATTTCAAGTCCTGGTCCTTTGATTGCTATGCGAAGATGGGTATTTGACTGATCATCTAGCATCTGGTCTATGCTTCTGGTGGAGGATATCAATTGCGTTTTGACGGCAAGATTATTCGGCGCACAATCGCCGCTCATTCAGATGTCATCAAGGCTTGCGATAGTTGCACGAATAGCAATCTGTCAGCAAAAAGTCAAGACAACTATGCGCTTTAAAGCGTCAAGTCAGAATCTGAGACAATATAAAAAAAGAAAATGACAAGCCAGAAATTGGAGAAAAGAAGAATGCAATACGATGCGGAATTGGGCAAAATAGATACTCATGTAAGTGCTGCCGCAAACTAATGATGTTCATAAAAGTGACTCGCGTTCAACATCTTCGTAAACTAAAACAGCCCAGGCTTCTTTTTTTAAACGCCCTACAATTAAACCCGTAACATTAACAATTAAACCCGTAACCTTAACAATTTCCCAATACAAACAAAAACAATTAATTTTCTCATCAACAAAGAAAATAATAAAAAATAAAAAAAATAAAATAACAATCCCCTTCAACCATTTCAAGATCATCACAGTAACATCATGATAAAGAGAGAGAAAGAGAGAGAGAATGGATTCATAACCTTAACAATTGACCCGTAACATTAACAATTAACTCGTAACCTTAACAATTAACCCGTAATTTTAACAATCTCCCAATACAAATAACAAAAATAATAAAAAATAAAAATAATAAAATAATCCTCATTAATCATTTCAACTATCATCTCAGTACATCATGATAAAGAGAGAGAAAATAAAAATAATAAAATAATCATCATCATATTTAATAAAAAAAGAAAGAGAAAGAGAAAGGTATTATGATCTTCACATATTTTAATCTTTTGGATTTTGTGTTTTGGGGCTTAGAGAACAGAATCTTTATTTTTGGGGGTAAAACACCCGTTGATAAAGTCTTGGGGGTGGAAAGCACGTTTCCTTAGCTTTTGGGGGCTGGAAGCATTTTTCCCTTAATAAATTCCGTTGGATTCTAAACCTACTCCAAAAAAGAAAAATACAGACACGTACACTTAAAAATTAACCATCCTTTTAACCTAATGCCTTTGAGCCAAGAGGGGCTAAACGTACTGAATGCAGGTTTTGCCTTCAATTCAACATTAGCCTCGATACGCCAAATGTCTAATCCTGGCCAATAATCTAGCTTCTAACAGCTAGCTGAACATAATGTTTCTAGGAAAATAATCTATAGAAAGTGATTTACTTGATGATCTTTCATGCCTAGGAATGCTTTGAGTTGTTAATTTCTATATGGAAATATTTTCATAAGAAATCCACATACGTTAAGCAGTATCGTGGGCCGAGATAAGTTTGCTATATGCATGCACTAGCAGCTGGAGCACACTTTCCCAGGTCTTGCAGCTATTTTGTCTACGATCTTGTCATGGCCCCGACCTATGAGCCCCGTCGGGGCGATGTAAGCTGTGTGACTAACTAAAGTGCAGGATCCATTGCCAAAATCAGCTAGCAGATGCTGTACTTGCATTCCACAACTTCACTTTTACGCTCTCTCAAACTGATCCACACATCCGATGTGGGACTAAAGATGGGGACATTACAGATCTCAAATGAAGAGTTTTGTTATACCACATGTACATTAAATACATAAATTTCATACCAGGCTAATTAGCAGTGTAGTTGTCAGAATATATGAGTATAAATTGGTTAAAGGTTCAAGTGTTTCTATTATTTTAACTTTATTATTGACCAGTACCCCCCCTCAAATATTATTGTCATTGGCATGCTTAAATCTTCCTGTAGGACAATGGATGCATTGATAGTCTCTCAAGCCTATGCATACATAACCTGGTTGCAAAAGTACCATGCATCCAGCTATCAAAGGGGGAACTTTAATTAATGCTTGTGTGATTAGCATTGCTAGTGTTGTTTGATGCTCATTTCTTATCACGAATCATCAGGTTGGAGCCCTGCTCGTGTTGGGCTTGTTGCTCCCATCGATGTGGTTGTTCCTCCTGGTAACACTGGCTTGGACCCCTCGCAGACCTCTTTCTTTCAGGTAATAGCAATACATAAATAGGCCTATTAGTTGATTATGTGTTTAGATGTTAGTCAAGAATTAATGAAAATTCCAGCTTTTAAAATTAATTATCTTTTGGGGTTGATGCTGTGGTCGCAGGTGCTTAACATCCCTACAAAGATCAACAAGGGTACAGTTGAAATCATCACACCAGTTGAGCTGATCAAGAAGGGTGACAAGGTGGGGTCTTCGGAGGCAGCTCTCCTTGCCAAGCTTGGGATAAGGCCCTTCTCCTATGGCCTTGTTGTGGTATCAGTCTACGACAATGGTTCCGTCTTCAGTCCTGAGGTGTTGGATCTCACCGAGGAAGACCTTGTTGAAAAGTTTGCAGCTGGTGTTTCTATGGTTGCTTCGCTGTCACTGGGCCTCTCTTACCCAACCCTCGCAGCATCACCCCATATGTTCATTAATTCCTACAAGAACGTTATTGCTGTTTCTGTTGCCACTGAATTCACTTTCCCACAAGCTGAACAAATCAAGGAGTATCTTAAGGTACATACATGCATACATATGCTACTATTATGATCTATTATCATTATTATCCTTACATTTGATTCCCAAAGATGATGCATGTGATTGCTGAAAAATTGTACGTCCAATGCAGGACCCTAGCAAGTTTTCTGTGACTGCCTCTCTTGCAGAAACTGCAGCTGCACCTGCTGCCAAGGAAGAAGAGAAGGAGGAGGAGCAAGTTGATGAGTCCGATGAAGAACTGGGGCTTAGCCTCTTCGATTAACATTTTATTTAGTTGGAGACTAGATACGAGGAGTTGTTTTTGGTTTGAGATTTACACTGCAATCTAGTCATATTTCCGTTTCATGGTTAAATAAACAGTTCCTAGTAAGACTCTTGCCGAGACTTATCATTTAGATGCCTTATCAGGGCCGGTTCTGAGATTTTAGGGGCCCTGTGCGAAAAGTAAACACATGGTACTTCTCTATATACAAAATATCAATAAATTGTTTTAAAATGAAAAAAACAATCTAAATTGTTTTAAAATGAAAAAAAATCTTTTAACGAGAGGACATAATACCTCCAAATTCTATTTAGCACAGATCACACAAGTAAAGTTAAGGCATATAAATCACATGATTACAAAATAAAAAACAAACAGATCTGATGCTAATCTAACGCTGGATCTATCAGATGATCGAAAATCAAGCAATGGAAACAAATTCATCAATAGATGTAGAAATTTATATATACCATGTAATCGGTGGCGATGAAGGGGTCGTTGACGGCCACGAGCTCAACATCCTCGCTTTGGAGAATCACTCTGGCAACCAATCGCCCTATCCTTCCAAATCCTAGCCAAAAAACAAAACAAAACAACCTATAAGAGCGATTTCAGCCTAGAATTCACAAAAATAAACTAGACGACCATTCAAATATCGATCTAAGCACAGAATCACTCACTGAGATGAAAATAAAAAATAAAAAATAAATAAATAAACTCACCGATGATTCCGACCTTGATCTTCTGTCCAGCTGAAAAAAGAGGGGGGAAGTGAGAAAATGGGAGATCGGAAAATGAGAGAAGAGGGAAAATAAGAAAGTTGACGGATTTACCCATGGGGATCTCCGGCGATGTAAGGGTAAAGATGTGCCGCGGAGCTCAGGGCGGGGCTTGGTCGGCAGTGAGCTGGGAGTCTGGGAAGCTCGGTAGGAGAGGGGCTCGACTATAGCTTGCCCTTGTTCAGAAACTATGGAGTTGAAACTAAAACCAGTAGGATTGTAGTTAATAAACATAGATGCAATCATAATACATGAAACTATACTCCCCACTGAAATAACAACAAATGAAATGGACCCAGGTACTGAGCTTATCATTATTCCAACAATCTCCTTCAACTTAATTAAGATCAAATTTTGCTGCCCATTCCGACTGTAATAAGTAAAAATCAAGAAGCCCCATCAAGAAAGTTATCATTTTGGAACTGGGTCACCAACCCCAAGAGCTTCTTCACTAAATGGGCGGTTAAAACTTCAAATTAGATGATAAAATGAAAAGGGAACCTCAACTCAAGCTCCAAGTCTTCAATAAGCCCCTGAGATCTGGTAAAGGATTAGCCGCTCGAGCGGGGGTGGAGTTGGTGGAGCTGGCGACGGCGGGGACTTGGGGTTCGGACTGATGGTGGTCGGAGCGGGAATGGGGGCTGACGGTGAGGGAAACGGGCGAAGGGAGAGAGAGCTGGGGATTTGGGTTTCTTTTGAAGGGGGAGAGAGAGAGAACGAAGGTGAGAGACTGGAGTGAGAACGAGGAAGTGAGAGAGGCAGGGGGAAGCACGAGGGAGGATTTTGAGGAAGGAATCAGGGAATCAGGGTAGGGAGATTAAAAAAAATTGGGGCCCCCAAGTTTAGGGGGCCCTGTGCGGTCGATCACTTGGAACACCTTCAGAACCGGGCCTGTGCCTTATTATCACTTTTTATTTAGTTGGAGACTAATGAGTTGTTTTCGAGCCCTCCTCGTGATTCTGTTCTGCTGAATATACGTAAGTTTACTTTGTTCAGATTGAATTATTGATCTTCAATGTGCATTCCCGCAATGTTTATTTTGTCCAGATGGTGCTGTTTTCATAGAGTTGATACCGCGTTGAGACGATCATCAGGTTGAAAATGCAAAACACGGCCCTGCACTTCCGTTAGTCATGCCATTTTCTAAAAATTGTTCTGAAGTATTTCCCTTTGTTTTGTGAAAAACTTCTTCCTTTTAGACGGCTGCTTTGTACGTCAGTGTTATGCATTGATTGTTAAGGTTACGGGTTGGTTGTTAAGGTTACGGGTTTGTTGTTGAGGTCATGGGTTTGTTGTGTAGGTTACGAATTTGTTGTTAATGTTACGGGTTTATCTGTTAAGATTACGGGTTTAATTGTTAAGGTTGCGTGTTTAATTGTTAAGGTTACGGGTTTAATTGTTATGGTTACGGTTTATTAATTATTAAGGTTACGGTTTAATTGTTAAGGTTACGGGTTTAATTGTTAAGGTTACGGGTTTAATTGTTAAGTTACGGGTTTAATTATTAC